GAAATCTAAAAATTTCACTGACTGAATTCACATTTTTATCCTTGAAATTGATTCTAAGCCTAAGGGAAGAAACGTATCACTCAACGTTAGCTGTTAAATTACTGTTTCTCCATTGTATGAAAGTAACTCCACTGCCATATTCACTACTGGAAACAAAGTAAAACTTTCTTTCACTCCTACAGTCAGTTAAATATGAGCCTACATTTTCATTCCAGTAGGGTTTTTTGTGATTTTTTTTTTTTCAACTCAAGTCAAAGTATGCAAAGACATGGCCTAGGAATGAACTTTGACTACAGACAGGGTACAGAGAGAACTTCCCCAAAATTTCTGATACGTTTCACATAGTAGTAAATTTGATTCAAATTATAGAGACCTTATCATCCTTAGCCAAGTAGAAAATACTAACTTTGATGAGAAAACACCATTGTTCCCAAGTCTCTGAGCCTTTCTAAGAAACTCATTGTGTACTAAAGGCATAGGAAAAAACAGTGATTTCCACATGATCAGTTAAAGGGTAACAAAGTAGATTATTCTCTAAATAAAATAAAATACTCCTATCAATGAAGTGATTATATCATAGCGAGATTAGAAAATCATGATAGAGGCATGCTTCCTTCTCTTTATGTACTTACCACCCAGAGAGAACAATTTACTTAAATAATTGAAAGGATTTTTGTATACAAAACCCCCATGTATTTACCATCTAGTCCTGAAAAAAAAAATTGAATCAGGTACAGTTCTTCTATAAAGCATAAAAAGATATGTTTATTAACTGTTGAAGAATTAATGAGCAGTGCTTTCTACTCTCCTGAGTGCCTTTTCCCCAAAAGCTGGAGGAGGGCTGCAGGCTGAGGGAATTGTTGAAGGGCCTCTCTCATAATGCCCCATTTGCATCAGTGACTAGGGGAGATTTTTCCTAGCAAGTAACATATAACATCATAACATGAAACAACATTTATTACCAAGCAATATGGTTAGATATAGTTAGATATAACTATATGTATAACTAGATATATAATATAGTTAGATAATAAGCATAGATTTATGAGATTTTATATTTTTTAAATAAGTCTTTCTGATTTAGAGCATTTGCCTCCCCCTGCTTCCCTGGGACAGAAAAATAGTTTTAAAAGGAGATGAATAAAAATGCACTGGAGTGTCTAAATAAATTTTCCCGAGAAATAGCCATGCATTTTATAACAAATTCCAGGAAGTTTCTTCCTGTCACAGGGCATAAACACTTCCCTAAGTCTCCATTTGCCCAAATCTGAACAAAGGACAAAGAAGCAGGGATGATGTTGCTTTGGTGTACTCATGGATGTGTGCAAGTGTGTGTATGTGTTGTTTGTCTCTATTGTCCTTCAATTCCAGTGGATTGCCAGGACCCAACTGATATTCCCTGTTTCTGAGGCCCTGAACTGTAACATTAACAATACTCCTTCGCTTCAGAAGGGTTCACTTACGCCCCCAAATCTACCAAGTACTTACTACTCTATTTCTTCATGGGATTAACCCATAGATCACATATAGTATGCTACCTATTTTACCAGGCCTTGCTCAGCTTCCCTTATCACTTTGAATTGTAGCTGTGAATAAAACAAAAGAAGTCCGTCAAGTGTGAGGATGGCAGTTACATTTTAAAATATATGAGCACGTAAAAGTGTGCGTGCTGCTCCACTGCAAATCTATCTGCTGTTTTACTGGCCTCTTAAAGGTGACATAAAGTTGTAATGAAAGGAATTCCTTTATCTCCTGCACATGGAGTATTCATCATAGGACCAATTTTTGCCAAAGTGAATGCACCTTTAATATTCTACTTAATGAAAAACACTTAAAGCTATATGCACATTTACTTGAACTACATTACAATTTCTATAATTTGCATAGCATGTAGGAACAGCCTCCTGTTTCCTTTTGTCTTAGTTAAGGCATCCCTTGCTGTGAGGAGACACCATGTTCATGGAAACTCTTATAAAGGAAAATATTTAATGCAGGTGGTGGCTTACAGTTCAGAGGTTTAATCCATCGTCATCATAGTGGGACAGGGTGGCATGCAGGCAGACATGGTGCTGAAGAGGTACCTGAGAGTTCTACATCTTGTGCTGGCAACAGGAAGTGATCTGAGACACTGTGTGTCACTTAAGCATAGATGAGACCTCAAAGCCCACCCCCACAGTGACACACTTCCTCCAATAAGATCATATCTACTCCAACAATGCCACACCTCCTAATAGTGCCACTCACTCCCTTTGGGGTTCATTTTCTTTCAAGCTACTACACAGTCTTATTGTATAAACATTTACTTTAAAGCTCTAATACTAATGATTTTCTTATTGTTTCCTTATTTTTAAATTTAATAGTATTAGTTCCTATTTCTTGACTTTTTTCCTTTTAAAATGTTATTTGCTGGCTTCCCATTTGCAGAAAAGTATAGCTTTCTGTTCCCTAACCTGACCTCATGCTCACTTCCTTTGCTCCATATCTTTGGAATAGAATTCAAAGTTAATTGAGATGTGATTACTATTGCGCATTCTTTCTGCTGGCAACTGATCTTTGTAAGATAGGAAGAACATCATAGTTCCATTTCAATCTACAGTAGCTCATTTCCTCTGGAAACCTTTGTTTTTCCAGTCACAAATGCAAAGTGTATCTTCTCTATTTAAGCAGCTACAGAAAAATATTCTAGAACTGGGTAGCTTATATATAAGAAGACTTTCTTTCTTTCTTTCTTTCTTTTTTTTTTTTTTTTTTTTTTTTTTTTTTTTTTTTTTTTTTTTTTTTTTTTTTTACTGTTCAGGAGACCATACTCCATAAGAAAATGCTAAAGACATGGATTTCCCTGTCAGACCACATACCTTGGATGGCTCCTTACAAGGCTGTCCCATAGTAGTAGTCCTTAGTATCAAAGTACCAAAAGCAAGCACTAGTTGAGGAGTCATGCTAATGGTTTCCTTTCAACTTTATTTCCTATTTGAAAGACCTGTCCCTAGATACAAGTCAACTGTGACCCTGTGGGAGCCAGAGCTTCAACTTGGAAGTTTGAATAGGTCACATTCTGTGTGCACCATTTGTCAAGCAGCAATCTGTTTTCAGTATGTTCACCCACGTCAAGGAACAGCAAATTAACAACTGTCCATGGGCAGCCCTCCATGTGCTATGAGGTGACTCTTCAAATAGAAACTGTTGCACAGTTGTTGGCTTGAGACTGGCTTTCCCTGCAGCAAGGGAAAGCCCACACTCCTCTCCACTGTGTTGGGTATCAGAGTCCACCTTTGCTCACACTTAGATTTTGGTAAACCACATCTTTTAGTATCTTCCCACGAGCTGTATGCTGTTTGAAAACTAATCAGTTAGAAATTCAGTAACTACCCTTTTACCTTCTTTGTTTTCCTTCTTGAGAAAAGAAAAATCCCTAGAATGTAGAATTCTAAGTGGAAAAGTTTTTTTTTTTCAGAAATTTCTTTTAAAGAATTGAGTTTTTTACTTCTAACTTCATAATAACTGTCTGTGAGCACACACACACACACACACACACACACACACACACACACACACACATACACACACACACACATACACACACACACACACCACTAAACTTCAAATTCAATCTTGCTTGCTGTCATTTCGTTACATAACACTAACATGAATGCCAGTGCATTTACCTTATCACAGCAAACCAGTCAATATAAATGCATGGAGGCATTTGGATTCTCCATCATTAGTTTTTGTTTCTGTTTTTTTCTGTTTCTCTGATTAGTATTCCTCATGTTAATTTTGCTCTCTGTTTTACCTCTCTCTACCTCCAATGCAAGTTGGGTTATTTCACAAACATTATGCTACAATAAGCAAGTGTTACACATTTGACAGTTTCATTGCCCAAATTTGATTGAATTGGATTGACATTATATTTTGGGCCTTGTTAGAATTCATAGAGGAAACTGGTTCTCAGTTCCTCTCTCTTCACCTCCTAACATGTAGATATTATTTCATCCACTCAATCCTGGGTGAGAATATATGATGTTCTCACAATTTACTCTTCTTTTTGAGTTAGTTTTATTATGTAGTTTATTTTTCTTTGTAGGTCCAGTGTTCTTAAGCTATCTTCTAGGCCTCTTACTGAATTTCCTTTTGTTATTTTTTATTTGATTTCCAGAGTCTTCTGGATGATTCCTGAATGTTTATGGGTTGTTTGATGTATTTTGTTCTATGTATATTATTCTTTTTGATATGCGCATCATGATCTCACATTACACTTAAGGCGTTTATTGAATATCAGCATCTTCTGAATAGATATTGTAAAACCGATTTATTCACCCACATTTAGAGTATATTTCTTCTGCTTCTCTGATTTCTCTTTCTTTTTTGGTAGGAATTTTGTGTTCATTCATTCTCTTTTTCTTTATTGTTGCCAATTCTCTAAAATGTCCAGTGACTCTTGTGGACTGAATATATAGGAGAGAAGAATTTAAAACTAAAAATGCTAAGAAAAAAATGCTGACAGGATGGTATTATATATGGTTTCATTGTAGGGTAATCAAACATTGCACCAGGAATTTCTGACTTTGTATACTCATATGAACATATAAATGCATTCCCATGTGCAGGAACATACACACACACACACACACACACACACACACACACACACACACACACACACACACACCTGAATATAGGACATTTTCTCTTATATGGACCACTTCCTCAAGACATATTTATTTGAAGAAGCATATGAAACACTCCAAGCAATTTGTTCTCAATCAACTAAGATATTGCATGTACCTAGGCTCCCAAAATTTTCTTTCTGACTTAGAAAGTAGAGGATTCACAGAACGAATTGTCTAAATAACATACCTCTTCTCCCAGGGTTCAGAAAGCAACCAGGAATGCAAATGAGAGATCTAGGGAATCTGTTATTTCTTTGTTTTGACTCAAACTAAGCAAAAACCTTGCATGGTGGAAATCAAAGTTCACTGAAGGGGTTTCAGGAAACTTACAGACGATGTTCTGTCCACTTCGCAGCGGCTGCTCAGAATGAAACAGGCCTCCGCATTGTCCATCCTAAACACAGACAGGAAACAGAGTAACCACATTGAAATGCTGCTGGAGTAAGTGTGGCATGGCCTGGGCCACACCCTACATGTGTGTCCTTAAGCTTAAAGGACAGTTGGATGTCTTGCCGAACATGACTACATTTGTGAGAAAAACAGCTCCAGAATTTATTGCAGAAAAAAGAAGTTGAACTTAGCTGTTATGTTTTCATTAATATGCTTTGCACAAATTAGGAACACTGCTGATCTTTATTTTATGGATAACTCATCTCAGTAACAACTACTCAGTTAGAGAGAGAGAGAAGAGATATGCTTAGTGGTTTTAAGTCAAACTCCACTGTATGTTTATGTTTCCAGGAGACTGTTCAACCTTTTGTTCCAAACGCTTTTTTCCTCATGATAATGTTTTTTCATTCTTAAAATTAGTAACTTAAAAATGTGTTTTAGTCCTTCATAAGTAGCAATTTCAAAACATAAGAATGTTTATTTTTGAAATGAAGAATGATTTGTCTTTCTGGTACACTGTGATAAAATTAGGTTTTTGACAAAAATAATGTTTTCACTGGAGAAGAGAGACAAAAAGCCCAGGAAACTAATCCAAACAAAACAATTCTGAAGAAAACATTGAGGCATGATTGCTAAATAACATTTGTATTGGACAACATTCTCTAAGCGTCACTTTCAGTAAAGCAGTTAAGTCATGCAACTGACCTTTGGGACTTGTTTGGAGACTCCTACTCCTTGTTCCTTGCATGGGGAATTATGCTGAAGAATGTATTAGTTAACATTAAATCCCAAATATTTTATATGAAATTAGGATTAGAAATGTACATACAATAGATAGTCTGTCACCCTAAGAGATGTCTTGCTCGGCCCAGCTCTTTGAACAGTCTAGCTGGACAATAGCCTCTTGTTATCCCTTTTTTATGATTTATCCATTTTCAATTCACATGGAGGGTTTTCTGTAAATGGGACCCTTTTTTTTAGAGAATCATTTTGTTACTAGTATCAACACATAGAATCTATCTGAGATATTTATAGCTAAAACAAAAAAGCCTAAATTCAATTCCCAAACAAAAAGTTTCATCACACACATCCATATTAACACACCATGGACAAGCTGTGGGAAGAACTTAACTCATAGTGATTTAAGGAGAATGATGTATACAGACAAAAGAATATAGAGCTTTAGAGGATGTAAATGTGGCAACATCCTCTAATAATTATATAGCTATCAAATAAGGAATAGTTAAATCTCCAATTCACATGAGAATTTGGTAACATCTGACTGTTTATAGAACTGTCACCTGTAGTAATTTATAGAGATATACTCTAAGACAAAACACATACTCTTAAGCTTTCCAATATTTACCAATCATTCTATTGTGGAAGTTTCTGCTTAATGTTTTGTTTCTTAAATTAAATAATCAAATAAAACAAATTTCAGTTAAATTTATTTTCCTCTTGATAAATAAAAAACATGAGAATTCACAGCTACTGGGTACCTAAGCATCACTTGGGACATTAGGTGAGTTATGCAAACAAAAAGTCTTAAGTTATCAACTGTGATGAGGCAACTTTACATTTAAAACAGTACATGAGAGCGTCTAAGAAGAAACATGAAAGCATGCTTAAGTCTTTAAACTGGCAAAAGGTATCCAGCAAAGCCTTGCCAGCTAAAGATTTCTCCAGGTTTTGAAACTAAGGAAATTGTTTTGTGTTAGCCCTGATCCCCTGGTGACCGCAGTCCTCCCAGTCCATTCCCTCACTCCGCTTCTGTGTTAGAAGACCAATTTCCCTTAATAGGTGGTTAGACCAGGTCACTTTTTAAGCCCTGTTTACAGGCATATGGACAATACGAGGGCAACTCCACAGAACCTCTCAGGATCCTGTTTCCTCCAGCTCAGAGGACTCTTCTGACTTTGACCCCAGCAAGATAAAAGGTGTCTGTCGCTGAGTGCCTGCTGCAACCGCGTTAAAATTCAAACTCTGACTCATGCTTTGATATCTCACAAATTATTAAGTCCAACTCTTTTATTTGTGAAATAAAAGCAGAATTGTGAAATTTGGAGACTTCTCTAATGGGAAGTCTGAACACCACTTGACTATCTTTGACAGCTAACGCAATTCTATCACGGCGACTTCTCATCGCGTGGTGTAGACATGCTATCTTAGACATCTGCTTTAAAATAAAAGTAGGAAACAAGAGCCTATATTTCTAGCATTTTTATTTTAGAATTAGTAAAGTGGAGCTAAATTTTTATTTAAATATGTGTGAAATGTATCTTGCAAATATTATAAGAAAAAAGTCATCAAAGGACTGAAAATTAAAAGAAGAGAGATAGAACGTAGCAAGGATGCCTACTTTGCTCTCAGGAGATCCTGATCTTTAAGTGCTGAGCCTTGAAGGTAGATCACCCTCTGGGACCACATTGGAATCTGTAGCACCCTCCGAACTTGCACATCCATCTCCGTAGGGCACAAAATCACCACATAATAATCCTACTCGAGGTAAAATGGGCAATGACATAAATACAGCCATGCTTTACGTTATCCTACAGAGGTACACAAAATACTTACAGAAATTTTCCTTAATTATGATCAAGTTGAAATAAATTCGTGGTAATAAATAAAGTTTACTTTTAAATTCAGAAAAATTAAGTAAGACTGCACTATGATGAACATAAAGTGAGGAATGCAAACAGTCAGTGAGCCTGAGTTATTTTAATTGCATCAGTACCACAGAGCAAGACCATCATGGAGTACACACTACACGCTCCTTCAGTTTAGATAGCACTGCCGAGTGAGTGTAAAGCACACACTGGATGGGAGAAAGAAAGGTTTACGAGTCAATTCATACTTCAAAGTGTGGCTTTTCAGGCTGAAATATATTTAACTAATATTATAGTATGGACTGGTACCTTGGAGCAATTTCTGATGAATATTTGTATAGTTAGGAGTTTTGAAGGTATATTGAAAACAATAAATGATTTAAAAAATGGTTTTAGATCAAAATATTTCAAAGTGCACCATAATCTAGAGACTTGGCAAATGCATTCAAAACGTAAAATGACTTAAAACTAATCTATAAGAATTTGGCTTCTCTGGAAACCATTCCCTATGAGGTCCTACTAAAATATATCTACAGCAACATGTTTAGTATTTAAAATCTTTATATTGTTAATAGATAGACTTAATTATTATGAGATCATTTTATCAGATTTTCTCAAAATAATATATAATATTTATAAAGAAAATTAAAGTGTGTGGGAAAGTTTAAGAACATAAGTTAGGAAGAAACAGTGTTAAATCAATATGCTATGTATTTTAGACATCACTTACAAATTATATTTTATTCAGCGTTGTCCTATGTTTTACTCACACAAATTCATTCAGGAAAAACAAAACAAACAGCCATTTCTTAACTGAAGTAATTGCACTGGGGAAAAAATTGCCTAAATCTCCTTTGTCTTTACAGTGCTTTGTCACACTCCAGAATGAATACACAAAAGGCAACTTCCAGGCACTGGAGAGATGTCTTCGCAAGTAAGAGTGCTGGACACACTTGACATAGGACCTGAATTTGGTTCCCAGCACCCACACTGAGCAGTTCACAACAGTCTACAACACCACCTTGAGGGATCTGACACAATAGTTAGCTTCTGTGTTCAACCATACACACAGATGCACAGACACATACAAACCCACATAGGCACACAGAGACACACATCTACACATAAAAATGAAAACCTTACAAGAAGGAATTTCCATATTCTCACATTCCTATCAGCAATACTTTTTTTGGTTTTTCAAGGCAGGGTTTCTCTGTGTAGCTTTGAGCCTTTCCTGGAACTCACTTTGTAGACCAGGCTGGCCTCTAACTCACAGAGATCTGCCTGCCTCTGCCTCCCGAGTGCTGGGATTAAAGGCGTTCGCCACCACCGCCCGGCTTCAGCAATACTTCTTATAACTACGCTTTCCATGATGGTTTCTTCATTGTTTTTTTGTATTTCATACAAAAACCCACTGCTTTGTAAAATTTTCTTTTATCCTTTACCCAAGAGAGAAAACAACAATTCTTTAAGTCCAATAAAATGTTTGACTTAAAGCAAAAACAAGTCCCACCTGTCTTTTAGCACAGCTACAGAAGGGAACCTCAAGGCTGTTTATTCACCCAGCATTTTTTCTATGTGCCTCATTCGTCTTTCATTTGCCCTTTTTAAATGTGAGTATATAAATAAAAGCGCCAGAATGCAGGCTGCACTATCGGTTAGTGTACTATTAAGTATGATTCAGTATTTTACATAATAGAATTCAAATTTACCTGCAGTCTTGGATGTGCATAGAATTCATTTAGAAAATCCATAAGTAAGTCGATCTTCAATGAGCTGACACACAGGACAACGTGCTTCTCAGTCTGAGCTCTGTGACGACTGTAGTTGCCACCTGACTTTTGTCTCTCCATCCACAAATAGGCTAACTGCTCAAACTGTAATGAATTTTCCACATGTGAAAGAAAAACATCACACAGGAGAGTGAAAAATCCAGTGCAGTGCCCCATTTGTGATCAGGTACAATGCATTTCTTACTCTTGAAATAGCTGAGTTTCAAATTATCAGTATTCCTTTCAACAAGAGGCTGACCACGTGATTTCCACAGCGGTTACAAAGGAGGCCCTGAGGCTTCAGGTCTCCATGGAAACACATTAGAATGATTTTACTATTATACCACCATACCAGGCCACTAAGATGCTAGGCGATGTGCTTTATGTCCGGGGAAGTATGATGTGATACGCCATCCACTATGTGAAAAGTAACAGCTCTACCAGCTGCCACTTCTCCTGCCCCATAGTGTCAGGATCCTGCGAGGGGAGAAAGCTGCATGGACACACAATGCACTGTGCAGCAATGAGTGATGTAGAGGAATGTCAGGGAAGGTAGGCGTGGCAGAATGAACTGGTTAAGGCTGTCTGATGAACACGCAAGGTTAATTTTCATTTGCCATATTTTGTTCCTGATTTGTTCACGTATGGGCATTCAGAGCCCATGACAACAAGAAATTGGAGACTGGTCATGGTTTATAGCTCTGCCCTTTGCAATCAGTATACTACCCAAAATGCTCCATAATGTGCACACGCAATGCTCAGAGATGGCTTTAGTTGATGGACATGAGAAATCAACTTTTTGTTTTTGTTTTCCTTTTGTTTTGTCTTTCAAGACAGGATTCCTCTGGGTAGTCTTGGTTGTCTTGGAACTTGCTCGGTACTGCAGACCAGGCTGATCTGGAACTAACAGAGATCTGCGTGCCTCTGCCTTCTGAGTGCTGGATTAATGGCAGGTGCTACCACTGAATGGTGAGAAATTAACTTTTAACCCCCGGCAAATCACACCTCTTTTTTTTTTTTTTTCATTTCTCAAATTTAATTCCTTAGTCTAACATCCTATAATTTAAAATTACATATCATAACTAGTGATATCAGATAATCTATATTTAAAAGGAAACATGTTGAATAATCAAAGCAAAAATGTGGGCTATCACTTGTGACTTGGAGGCAAAAGGTGTCTAATAAAATTTAAGAAGTCATTTCTGACATAATGTAAGAAATTCATTAAACTCTCCATAGCATGTCTTATAATAATATTGTTAAATAAACAATCAGGTCTTTTTTTTTTATTAATGGAGAGGTTCAATATTCCATGGTGTTGCGTGTTGCACAGCTCTACAAAGGTGAACAAGGTTCTGTTTACCTGTATGGGGAGTACCACAAGAGCAACGCAGATCATAGCAACGACAAATAGCTTGGAAGACCACGTTTCCGGAGTGACATCCCCAAAGCCCACAGTAGAAAATGTCACAATGCAGAAATAGAGGGAATCAAAGAGATTGAGTTTCTTGCCAATTCGTTCCAGATGCTGAATTCCACAAATGCTAAAAAAGCAGATATGCATTTAATATTAAGACTCACAAATTTTTCATTGCTGTTCTTTGAAAACCAAAACACATTTCATAAAGACATTTTATAATTGGCCTATTGATATGAAAATTTCCCCAGAACAATATAACTTTGAAGTTTTAACTGCACTAATTAGTTACAGTTTTGTTTTGTTTAATAGACAAAAGTGTTAACCACAATAGCTGACTCCCAGAGACATTTAGTGCATGTTAAGGCAAAACAAACCAACAAATAAAAAAAGGAGAAATTTCTAAGTCTGACACAAGTCAAAATAACAAAAGTCTTTTATTGTTTAATTTAGGAAGAATAAAGGTTTATTAATGTATGTGTGGGCATCTACAGAAAACTGTCGGTTAACAATAAGCAAATCATATAGTTTGAACACCGGTGCTGCCAATATTCTAGTTGACATTAATTAGCTCTTGTCAAAATACTGAGAGGGGTTGGCCCTTTAAGAAGAATGGGAAGAAATGGATTGCTGTCATTATTGTGGGAAGATCTTTGCTGTTGGCATACTTTACCCTGTTGTATGTAATGTTTCTTTTTCTGAACAACCTTAAGTTATGATCCCAACATTTTTCAACACATTAAGAACCCAGGCAACTTTGAGCACTGTTATGATGGACTTCCCAGATTTTAGAACTGTGATACAACAAATTTCTGTTTGGCTCATTATAAGTAATTCAGTCACAAATATTCTGTCATACAGCCACAAACCAATCTAATACACAAGTGTCTTTCAAATGGGAGCCTACAGTATAAGATGAACTTCTACAGAAAGCAAATGATATGTAAAAGAGTCCAATGTAGAAATTCTTAATGATAGATATCCACAAATTAGAATTACTAAAATGGCATTAGATATAGCACCAGTACTTAATTATAAAATAAAAACTAAAAGATTATGAGTATTGAATATATTGTACATGTAGAAGGGTAATAATAAATTTCCAACATGAAACTCAGTATGCAACTACAATGATTTGAACAAGGATGTTCTAATTTATATATCAGTATTAAAATGTGGAGACTTCAGGAAATGGAAAATCATGACAGTGGTGTCCTCAGACACGAGGGCAGTCAATCTTATAAAAGGACTGATGATAAGTACATCAAAATGTCTAGTCATTCTACATTCTGCCATGTGATGATACAGGAAGAAGACACTGTCTTAGAATTAGAGAGAAGGCCCTCACCAGACACCAACTGGGCCAGAATTTAATATGTAACATCTCATTTCAATCTGATAAAAACAAAATTTATGTAACTTATAAATTATTCATTCTCACACATTTTTGTGGAAATGGACCAACAAAAGATATCAAAACTGAGAATAGGGTTTTGGCTTAGTGAATGCCTATAGAGGAAGAATCAGCTTTAGGAATGGAAAATGGGTAGAGGCTGGAAGACTGGTAACATGGAGACAAGGAAGGTATCACATTGAATGTGTTGCTAAGGACAATTCTCTCAGGGTTCAGGAAAATGGGATTGTAGCAGAAAATTACAGAATTACAGCAGAATTTTGGTCTAACATTATTTATTGAAGATGATCCTGATGAGTCGGAGATAAGAAATGGATGTTTTATTGGAAAACAGAGAAAAAGTTGTCCTTGTAACACAGCAACATCACTTGACTGCATTAAGTCCATGGTTTTATGAAAGCCAGAATTTAGGAGCGGTAAGTTAGAATCATTGGGAGCAGAAATCTGTAAGTCAAGTATTTGGAGTGTTTCACAGCATCTCCTGATGATATGCTAAAGTCATATAAGAGAAAAAATGGTTTAAAGATACAACTTATAGGGAATTCTATCTCTAGATAGAATAAAGAGAAGCAGGATGACCTGCTCTGGAAGAGCAGCACCATCGTGATCAGATTGTGAAGAATAAAAGTATTTCTCATGAGAAGACACCAAGGGTGGGAGATTAGTATGACAAAGAAGACACATGTTCTTCATCTGCACAATAGAAGGAGCCTGAAGTCACTCCAGAGATCTTTGGAACCATCATGACTCCCACAAGCTAAAAATAACATGGCCTGGAATTTTATAATTGTTTTAAGTGAGCAAACCAAGGCACCCACAGAATTTCTAGGTTTATATCCAGAGTAGCCTCAGCTCTTTGATCCCTTCACCGCAGCACAAAGCCCTTGAGTCACTTCATGTGGGTCCAAGTACAACACTACATAAGGATGTATGTTTGACAAGACTCCCCCCGGGGACACAGAAAATAAACTTGGGCAGTTATCTCATTGGAACAAGGCAGCAGCTGCTCAGAGTACATAGTCCTGGTAGAACTACTTCATCTAGCTATCAAAGCATTTCCTTATGCCCAGACAGAAGGGCCTTAGGATGGGAGTTGACACAAAAAAGCCTCAGTTTGATAATGTCTAGAAATATGATAATAACATGAAGGTGAGGCTTCCTCAGACAACTCCACTGAACAGCAGCAATCATGCAACATCTGGAAGAGTTAGTGCTCCCATACTCTCAACTGTGAAGTTTCCTGTGTGGGCTGTGCCCAGAAAAGCCTTTTCAGTGAGTCTTCTCAAGGCCTTAAGAACTAACCTTTGCTCAGTGTGCCTAGAACTTCTGACATGGAGTTATATAAGAAACTATCCTCAATCCCAAGGATTGCATGTTGTTTGACTTACCAGGTTTTGAACTTATTTGTTGATATATTAAGGTAAGACTTTTAGAACCACTGTTTTAATAAAATGTGTCTGGTTTACTAACTATTTTTATTTGAGAGAAAAAATGAACTGGAGCATGCCCTCTCAAAAATTCAGGTTGAAACCTAAATGTCTAATGCAATAGTATTAAGCAACAAGACATTTAGACAGAGCACGGACCTTGTGAATAGGAACAGTGACTTCTAAATAAATAAAAACACTAGAGATAATTAGCTAGTGTTCCTCCCACATCTCACCATGTGAGGACATAGCATCAAGTCTTAGAAGTGGAGAGAATCCTCTCATCAGACATGGCCTCTGTGGCTCCTTGACACAGAGCACTCAAGCACTGAGAACGGAGAAAGAAAATCAGGCCTCTTGCAAATTACCCATTCTCAAGTACATGTCTAATAGCACAAGTAGAATAGTGTGATTAAAAGTACCATTCAGAAAGGAAAGAGAGAGAGGAAGGGATGGAGAGGGAGAGGAGAGGGAGGGAGGGAGGGAGGGAGGGAGGGAGGGAGGGAGGGAGGGAGGGAGGGAGGGAAGGAGGGAGGAAGGGAGGGAGGGAGGGAAGGAGGGAGGAAGGGAGGAGATGAAGCAAGAAGAGGAATCATATACTGATATAAGTTACAAGCATAAACTGAAACAAGCAGAATGTAAGAAGTCAAGTTGAGAGAGCACACATAACTGTTTATGGGCAATCTCCAGAGCAGAGACAGAAAGCAGATTAGTGGCTGCCTTGCCCGAGAGTGGGGTGTGAGGATGAAAGTGTTCCAAAAGTAGATTGTGGTGATTGCTAGAAACTCGGTAAATATGTTAAAATATGATTGAATTTACACTTTAGATGAGTGGATTTGATGATGTGTAAATTATGCTTCTGAAAAATCTGTTAAAACTCAGTGTATACGTTTGGACAGCCACTCCAGCTTCCGTGTGTGAGCAGACAGCTCAGCTGTGAGAGCCATGAGGAAATAGATTAATGGTTGAAAGTAAAATCAAAGAAATTCACTCTCTAGCCTTTTAAAGATGATCTGTTTGTCTAAATCCCATGCCAAACTTATTTATCCAGTGTTATTTTTAAAAATTGTTTTGTGTGACATTAAATCAAAACTTTTGAATAACAGAGCAGGCTCCTGGGTAGAGGATGAGGAAAGACAATGAGATGCAGGACACTCCAAAAAAACCTTGATTTACTTTTTCTATTTCTATTTCTGCAAACAGGTGATGATTTCCATTCCGCATCTCTAAATGGATCCAGAAAATTTGTATAGGAACTTCGAGTCACAAGGGCACCGGCCTGGTAAAAATGATTCCTGTCAGTTTATTTGCCTGGTTGCCCGTGTAATTAAGCCATCAGATGCTAACAAGAAGAAATGGATGTTCTCAATAGATGCTCCTTATGTATAATGACACATCCTTCAGAATGGGAACGTTTATATGTAACTTAAAATGTTATCTAATACTTATCGACTTATTGCACACGCACAGTCATGGGCGTGTGTATCCATGTGTGTGTCAGAGTCAGAGAACAGCTCTCCTCTTCCACGGTGTTTGTTCTGAGGATCAAACTCACTCGGGCTGTCAGGCTTGGCAGCAAGCTCCTTTACCCACGAAGCCCTCTCAGTGGCCCTAACTACAACTTTTACACTCCACATAAAACAGAATATTTTTAAAAAATTGAATTAATCAACGTATTTCAAGGATTCAAGTGTTATTTGAGAATGTTGCCTTTTGGTTAATTACACGTCAAATCTGATCTCTGATGACAGATAAAACAATCATTCCCTAATGCAAACATATGTTATCTAGATCTATATAACAAAATGTCACTGGCTGTACTTTTTAGCCTTCAATTTGTCAGTTTTAAAATGTATGTACAAAAATAGTCTGTATATAATTTGATATCAGGTTTCAAATGCCCACTGATTACAAACTCTCACTGATTCTAAGCTTTCTCAGATTTGTGGTGTCCTGGTCCTTAACAGAGCTTGTCAGCTCTTTTCTGAAACCATGGATCACCACATAAAGATGTTGGGGCACTCTATTGTAAGCCGTGAGTTAAGCCCTAAATTGACACAGTGAAAGTCAGGCCATCTTGTCACTGTGTGACTAAACTTGGAAGAGTAATATCTTGATCTCGAGTAGCTATGGCTGTCTGCAATGGGTTTACAAGGCTGGGCTTGCCAACAGTTCATCACGTGTTAGGGAGGGAGGGAACTAAGGGGTCCTAGCCATCCTTACTGAGATAGTGTCTACTGATAGAGTCTGGGAAGTACATTTTGCTTACATGTGTACCCCCTGTGA